TCCCAGGGTCCTGGGATCGAGCCCCGCATCGGGCTCCCTGCTCTGCGGGAAGCCTGCTTCTCCCTGTCCCACTCCCCCTGCTTGTGCTCCCTCTCTCGCTGTGTCTCTCTCTGTCAAATAAATAAACTCTTTAAAAAAAAAAAAAAAGATAATTAACTCATCTGGGGCGCCTGGCTGGCTCAGATGGTAGCGCATGAGACTCTTGATCTCGGGGCTGTTGGGTATAGAGATTACTTAAAAATAAAATTAAAAAAAAAAAGATTATTAACTCAGTAAATTGTCAAGCAAAACACTTTCCACAAAGGGACAAAAGTGTGATAGCAGAGTAGGAAGAAACAGATTTGGGACCAAGATGTAAGTAAGCTTTTCTAAGGCTTATAAGGTGTGCTAGGCAAAAGCACCTTTTGATTCTTAACTATGGGAAAGAAACTGAGGGTTGCTGGAAGGGAGGTAAGTGGGCGGATGGGGTAACTGGGTGACAGGCATTAAGGAGGGCAGGTGATGTGATGAGCACCGAGTGTTATATGCAACTGATGAATTACTGAACTCTACCTCTGAAACTAATGATGTACTTCATGTTGGCGAATTGAATTTAAATTAAAAAAAAAAAAAGCACCTTTTAAAAAATTTCCATTCCTGGAGAAGCCTGGCTGGCTCAGTCAGTGGAGCTTGCGACACTTGATCTCAGGGTTGTGAGTTCGAGCCCCATGTTGGGTGTAGAAATTACTTAAAAGTAAAATCTTAAGAAGAAAAATTGCCATTCCTTGGCTAAAATCAAAAACACAAGAAACAAGTGTTGGCGAGGATGTGGAGAAAGGGGAACCCTCATGGTGGGAATGCAAACTGGTGCAGCCACTCTGGAAAACAGTATGGAGGTTCCTCAGAAAGTTAAAAATAGAACTACTCTATGATTCAGCAATCGCGTTACTAGCTATCTATCCAAAAAATACAAAAATACTAAGTCAAAAGGGATACATGCACCCTGATGTTTATCACATTATCTACAATAGCCAAATTATGGGAACAGCTCAAGTGTCCATCAACTGAGGAATGGATACACACACACACACACACACTGGAATATTACTCAGCCATAAAAAGAATGAAATCTTGCCATTTGCAATGATGTAGCTAAAGAGTATAATGCTGAAAGAAGTCAGTCTGAGAAAAGACAAAGATGGTATGATTTCACTCATATGTGGAATTCAAGAAACAAAACAAATAAAGGGGGAAAAAAGAGACAAACCAAGAAACAGACTCTTAACCATAGAGAGCAAACTGATGGTTACCAGACGTAGGATGGTGGTAAGGGGAGATGGCTGAAATAGGTTATAGGGATTAAGAAGTACACTTGTGATAAGCACTGGGTGATGTATGGAGTATTGAGTCCCTATATTGTACACCTGAACCTACTATTACACTGTATGTTAACTGGAATTAAAATAAAAACTTAAAAACATCTCCATTCCTAATGAGCAAAAAGGGCATGAAAACAAAAGGCCTCAAGAATACCAAGCTCAAATTGAACAGATTTTTTTTGAAACCAATCAAGATTCAAGCACCAAACCAACATAGGTACCAATATGACATTTCCCCAATATCTTCCCTCGATATCCCCCATACGTACCAAGATGCACATCCCTAACATGTGGAAGATATTCATATTTACATTAAGCTCAATTTATTTAAAATCTGATTTAGTGTTCCAGATGGTTACAAATTCTGTTGTGTATCTACTAGCCAGCTGACTTACTTCTGATTTTCAGAAAAAGTATGTTGTCTTTATTTGTAAAAAGGCAATTTTCTGTTAAGCCTATGATAACTTCACCCACAAGTCTCTAGCAGAAACTAGTGCTTAAAACCATTACTGATTGTTCTTACAGCTTTTCAAACTTGGGGATCACAAAAACACATAATTGATAATGCTGGCAGACCAGCCCTCTGCCAGTCCCACTCACTATCCCAGTACTTCTTCATAGCCTCATTCTGTCCACTCAAGGACAAAGGCCTCACCACGGAGCGGGCAAAACAGCTCAGCTTGATTATTCCCAGTGCTTGTTTCCTTAAAACTTTTTATTGCTCTAAACTGCATGGGTAACAGACAAAAGGCTTTTGTACACTGGTGTCCAAAAAACTCATTTAAGTCCAAATTTATTTCACCAGTAACCCAGACAGTGCTGGTTCCTTACTATACATGTACAGTTTCCTTCCGATTCCAGGCAATTTTCTCACCCATACTATGTCAACACTATCAGTGGACATTTAAACAGTGAAATGACTCATTTTACTTTAAAAATAGTGTCTCTCGCTTCCAACTCATCACTTTTTAAAAACTCCATCCCTACCAAGCCACTACAATTTGACACATTACGGGTGAGTAACCTTTGAACCTCCACTCCTCTCCCAAAGCAGGAGGTTGGCTATCCAATTGTATTTTAAAAAGCAAGCAAGCAAGCAAGCTTGCTTGCTGGGAAAGCACCCTGTCCAATCTTGAGTAGATTTTGATCATAAATTCTGCAACTAAATATGATTGAACTTTAAGTGTAAGGATTAGTAAACAGACCTAATCTTCTTTTTAAATAGTTAGGTCAGCTGCTTTGTCCAAGCAAGGTTTCTGAGCTATTCATCTCCCATGCAGAAACAGAAAACCGATCCAGTGGTCTCCCCATATACATTTCAAATAAATCCTCTCTGGTTCCATGAGTGAATTTTATTTTATCATCGGATTCTCTTAGATGTCAGCACAACACCACAATTTAACACTCGCTGTAAAACAGGGTTGCCTAACCTTAGCATAACATCCCTATTCACAGGGCTGAAGAAAGTTGCTTAAAAATCTATAAAGAAAGCTGTCCCCAAGCACTGGTCAGGTTGTGCAGTTTTGATAGGACTTTTTATGTGGCAAACGGCTGCTATCTGGTGCAGTAGGAGTGCAACTGCTTTCCACCATTCCTTCGTGATCCTACGAGTCAGCCTTTTCTGCAGCCTTTTCTAGCATTTACAACATTTTAACTCCAGAGGTAGCTCTTTGGCCAAGGCTTCAAAACAAAGACCACAATAAGCAATTTTAATTTTAAGGAATTTTAATACAAACTTAATATAAACTATTTCAGTCCCTCTTAACATGTAAGACACTGACTCAAAATACTTTTATACCGTTTTTTTCAAGTATTGCACAATATAGGTACAAAATTAATATTTACGATTACATTTTCTTCCATAATATATAGCAAAAATCTTTAAACCTTTAACAGAAAATACATTTTTTTGAAAAAGCAAATATTCGTACATTTTAATTCCACCACTAAAGGAATATCCTGTACACAATTTTGAGAATAGTTGATGTCTTTAAGATGGATATTTTACAATTTCAGTAAAAAAAATACATGAAGCTGCTGCTGTCACAGGTCACTGTAGTAAAAAGATATAAATGCAATACCGTGTCGTAGAAACAATATATATATCCTCTGATATTTTACAAACTTTGTACTAAATTAAATTATACAATTAGAAAAGACCAATAAACCCACTTATTAGTGCCAATTTTTTATAAAAAAAAAATCAGCCATGTCCTTGCTATATCTTAAATACTGTAAGAGGCCATATCTGAGAGTATACTTTAAAATATACAGTCAGTATAAAATAACTTTGTGCTTGGTTGGCAAATGAAAAATGACGCAGGTTTTATTTTTGTAACCAAGCTTGAATGTATCCTTACTATAAGCTTAAAAAAAAAAAAAAAGTCTCAAGGAGGTGAAAAAAAAAATCCCCCCTTGGGCCCGTGCATTTTAACTTGTACGATACATTTTTTTTTTCTTCCTGTTTTAGTTAGCCATAACAGGCTGGAACTGCTGGTTAGAATACTGCATGTTATTTAAGCTAAAATTCAAGCCATCTACAAAAGACTTCTCGTTGAGGCCTCCATAGGCCGCAAACACATCAAAGGCATTACTGTACTGGAGAGGACTGAGGTTAAGGGGGCTGTCAGCTGGGAACATTCCATTGGTACTGCTACCTTGACCCTGCACATTAGGAAAAATAAACTCCTTGGCGTTAGGAGAAAGAGCGGAGGCTTTCTGCTGCCGCGGCGGCGGCGGCGGCGGCGGCGGGGGCTGCGACGGCTGCTGGCTGCCCAGGCCGAGCCCGTACAGAGAGTGCACTGAGGAAGAGATGGCTTTCTGCTTCAAGAGGTCATTCACATTCAAGCCGAGGTTGATAGGAGAAGTACGTGCAACCTTGTTGCTGCGGCCACTATTCTTCATTTTGGTAGAGCCGAACTTGGTGGCAGCAAAAGTGGCAGTGGTAAAGGTTAAAGGCTGAGTGGACCGGGGCATGAAGGTAGGGCTTACAGCAGCAGAGTGACCAAAGGGAGGCGACGGAGAGCTGGACACTGAGGAGGCTGGGTCACTTATGGGCATAAAAACCTGGGCCTCTGGGTTAAAGCTGTTTTTGATCTCCTTATCCAACTCACATCCATTTTCATTATTATCATCCACATAAAGCACCTTCACTGGTCCCTTTTCACCAATTTGGTAGGAAACCTCAAATGGGTCGATCCAAACACTAAGATCCTGTGGCAGATTGCCACGAACATCATCAATGTCCAAACCACTCTCTTTGGATGCTTGTTCAATCACTGGGTCCACTTTCTCCCCTATGTGTATACATCTAAACCCTGATCCTTTGTATGGCTTTTCAGGATACCAGTGCCCTTCATATTTCTTCTTAAGAAGTCTTTCAAGCTCTTCACCAAAAATGTTGACACGTCTCCTGGGAAGCTTATTGTACAAATATGAAATAATAAAATTTAGTGCTACTTGGATTTCAAGCTGCATAGCTGCTATGCCACTAAGTGAGATTTGTGTTTCAACTTCCCC